CATGAATCACGTATGACGACAATCGTCTGAACGATATCGTGTCGAGATTGTCTTGCTTCATAAAAATCAAAAATTTTTTGATCGTTTGTCCGATATCGTCAACTCGATTCCAGTTTTGCTTCACGTAACAGTAACAGTAACATGTAACAGCAACACAAATGCATAAATCAGTGTTTTGACAACATCGCACAGTGGTTCGGATCGCAAATCTAGCTGGACGAAACTATTTAAACAAATACTCGTTGAAGGATCTTTACACCACTTCTTACCTAGGGTATTTTTGAGTCACTGATTACGAATCTGAAGTCACTTATCAAAAATTCAAAATGGCGGATCTAAAGTCATTTACTTAATTTACTTTATTTACTTCGGAACGAGCATTTTCATCAGATATTTCTTTCAATTTACTAATCACATAATAGCGGACACCCTGTTGTCTTTTAGAAGTTTCAGCAACACTTCTCCAAATGTCAAACAACTCACTTCTTAAGATTTTACTTACCATGACTAAAATTTAAGATCACAGCAAGAAACACAAATAAGTTTCAGAAAAAATTGTATAACAGCGCTTAAAGATTTGCATGCCTGTTGTATAATTTTGTAATTTCAGAAAGCGGAAAATTCGCGAGGTACTATTTTTTTTTAACTCTTACATAACCAAAGTTTTTATAACTCCAAGTATTTTTCTGTTTTAACACACAACCAATCCCCGCCCCCCCGTGGATCCGCCACTGATCTTATATTTATATTCAGATACATTCCTGTTAATAACTACTTTTGAATTTTGAGATTTGACATACCGTCACTAAAATGTAAATATCTAAGCCAATTGGTTAGACTTGGTTATCGCACTTACCCTCTGCATTTGCGAAGGTGTAAAGAATAATATGCAAGTGATTTTATAACGGCCTTCGGCGGCCTTTACTATTCCTACTCTTAAGTTTATTTTTTTAATTAATCAAAACGACGATTTTTCAGAATAAATTTGCTTATATCAATGGACATAAATGACCTCTGAATCTATAGCGGAATAAGTGTATTTTTTTATTTATAAAGTCAATTTGCAATTATGCAAATATCTGTGAGTGCAATTAGCAATCTTTTAAGTTAAATTTCAGTTTTCAAAATAGAGTTCTCAAATAGGCGGCGTTGAATTGTTTTTTTGTTTGTTTTCATATGTTAATGCTTTAATAAATGCAATTTCTATTTGAATGTATTGTCAGGAATGTATTCCAAGTACCATTAAGTATTTTAAAAACAAACAAATTTTGACTTTCGTCCAGATAGATCTGCTATCCGAACCGCTGTGCATCGTTTTGTCAGTATCGTTTGAACGACTATCGCTTGAAAGTTACGTGATTCATGCCCAGTTGCAACAAATGAGTCCATACATATTTATGTACATATATAAGTACAATGCCGTATGCACGTGCGGAGTTTAAATAATCGGAAGTAGTAATCAATTTTAGCGCATTTGCTCTTGCTATGCATATGCCTAAATGTATGCAATTATTTGGCAAACAAACACCGGGTGCTTCTAATGAAAATATAAATTTTATGCTGAAATACACATGCTAAGCCCTTCAAAATTTTATGCTGGGAGATGCGTTACAGCTTTGCAAATTTTACCCCTACCGAAACCAAAGATGTATACACATAAAAAAAACACGCGATGTAAAGTTATACCTTGCGTTTATTAATGCAATATGTACATATAAATACTTATTTTTTGCTTACAATGTTGGTAAAATGAAGGATGTAATTAAGTAACTTAACAACTTATTCAGTATTTTTATTGTAGTAATTTAAATGGCAAACTCAATTTTGCGCTTTCCTTTTGCGAATCTTTCTATTATCCTTTCAGTGTCAATTTCCATATCTAAGTGTACGTGTAAAAGTGCTAGACTTATCAGTCTTCTTCATTCATGTTACTATGCAACCATGTTTTTAACCGGCGGAGAGTTGAAAAACTTCTTTCGGAAGTAGCGTTACTAGCTGGAAGTGTGACCAGAATGCGGAGAAATTTGTTTTTCAATGGAAAAGGATATTCGTCGCATTTACCAAGAACTTCTGCTGCTGATTTTCGGAATGGCTTTTCGCTTTCCTTATTTGTCCATCGTTCCAACCACACTTTATACTCTCCTTCCACATTGATACCGTCTTTTTCTAAGAAAAGTTCGTATCGTTTTCCAAGCGATTATACGCGTTCGATTGCATTATTTTTTCGTCAGGCGTATTATATTTCTTCAGCGTTAGACGCACGATAATTAGCCCGAAAATGTTGTGTATTTGCTCGCCGAGGAAGGACAATGTCAAAATCCAATCCTTAGCGATATCGGTAACTTTTGAAAATATATCAGAAAAGTGTGTGTCAGCATTTTTTCTATAATTTCGAAGAATATTCACAATGCCATTGACTGCTTTGTTAGCACGATTTAAGACAATCGAGGGCGCTTGGAGAAGTGAACTCTAAATTTAAAATTTTTTAATTTGACTTTTTAATTTTTATTATATTTTTCAAGTCATTAATATTTGTATGCGCATACAAATGTCTGGTTACATAGTTCAAAGTGAAATTTCCTATATACGTGCACCGCGGAAATAGACAAAAAGTAGTATCAGAAAGTTCGATTTGACATACATACATATATTCATAGTATCTACTATCCATTGTTTTATTTTTTAACGTTGACGAAGAGATTTACCCGATTTCTTATTCTATAAATAATCTTGTGCAAGCCTAAAAATGGTTACGATTGAAGATTACAATAAAAAAAAAACCTTTAAATTTTTTTTTTCAAATTTCTCGTTTGAGGTAATATATTTTGCTTTTCGAGCTCTGGGGTGGCGATCGCCTCCAATTTTGATCGGCCATACAAAATAACAACAAGTAATTTTTAAGCAAAAAACAAAACCGACTTCAATTCTCCTATAAAAATTTGAGGTTGTCGTTAATTTCTTCAAGATCCAATGATCGGATCTAAACCAAATTAGTGTGGGACCTGTGAGATAGAAAGCGGTTAACGTGGTCAAAAGTTATGCAATAACATGCATAAAATTTTAGCCTTTTCAGCTTTTGAACCGTTTTCTAAACCCCACATATCTTATATATACATATAAGAAAACAAGTTTTAAAATTTAAGAAAAATAATAATAATATAAAAAACACACAATCAAATCAAATCCTATTCGGTACATTTTTACACTACAAATAACAGCAACACAAACCACAAGTAAAGAGAACAATAACGCAGCAAAACTATAAAAAAACCTTCAGACGGCTGTGTTTGACTACAGAAAACACAAAGAGTGGCAAAGGGAGGCAGCTGAAATTAACCGTCTATAATCACAAAAGAATTATTAATATTATCAAAAAAATTCCATTCGGGGGAGCGCGGGGGAACACAACTTAAGCTTTAACTAAGATGTCAATATTTGGTTAAGTACAACACTAACACTGTCACTTGTGAAAAATTAATTTTAAAACAAAACCACATTAAGTTAAAACAGGTCAGAGATATGAGTAAAAATTTGCGAAGTGGACCACCATTTTTTCGAAGGTCCAGCTTTTTTTTGCAATTATCTGTTTATGCCTCACAACGAAATTCGAATTATTTCGGAAGTTAGAGCTATTAACATTTTTCGAAATTGTTTAGATTTTAATTAGGAGAGAGTGATATTTAAAATATTTTAATAACTTTTATAAAAAAAAATTGATGGCCAAAAAGAAATAAAAATGAAAAGAAAACACCATCGTTCTCAACTGTTTAAAATATGAGCAGAATCGGTATTATCAATCGCGAGAAAACAATTAAAATCTAAACAATTTCGAAAAATGTTAATAGCTAAAACCACGGCGTCCAGATTGTTTAAACAAAAGCGCAATTTCTGAAAAAAATATCGCAGAAAATCCACCATTTTTTTTTTATTAAATTCATGAGATCGATTTAACAAATCTTTTATATTAAAAATGAGCTCTTGTTATAATATAGTTTTTAAAACCAAAAACGAATATAATACCTTCGGAGGCTAATAATAAATAACACAAATCACTTATATAATAGTGATGTACAAACAATTTTCTTTAAAAATACGCATACTTTTTAAAAATATTTGTTTCAACACATTTTGCAATAGGACCGCGGAATTATTAAATTTATTATAGTTCATATTAACTGATTAATTGCACAACCCGCTTTTAAGAGCTCGGCGCTAAAAATTTAATAAAAACCTAAAATAAGGCGAGATCAGATATTTCTACAATTCAAAATCATCTATAGTGTCTGAATGATTTACATTTCTGTTGTTGCCATATATTGAGCTATTCAACCTTGATAACATACTGTTTGATATTGGAAACGTTTTGCAGCAGAAACTATTAGCCTTCATATAACACTTTATTCGAACTATTGAAGTAAGGCTTTCCAACCTCGTCCTATTTCGAATCTTAGTTTTTGTTGAATTCATTACGGAAAAAGACGCGCTCAACAAAGCATGTGTGTGCGGCAAGGATAATAATATGAATTTACTTATGTTTCCAAACATTTTATTGCCTGTTGCGGTTTTCACTCTGTAAGCAATTATCCAAAATTCTTCAGAGTCGGATGGAACGGTTCTGAGAAAAGTTATTCCTTGGGAAAGTTGAAAGATTTAAATATTCAGTTTCCGCTGCTTTTCTTTCCTTCAAAGTCACATAGTGAATTGGCAGGTCCCTGAAACTCGCTCTCTTGTGATTCACACACTTTTCTGGTGACAAAATCAAAGCTTTTTTAAAAGTATTTAATTGACTAGGTAATCGATTCAAAATTTCTCCGACTAGGGTGATTAAACATTTTTTACAGTCTTCTAATATGCTTCTTAAGCC